GAATGCTGGTGCTAATGCATACTCAGGGTGGGACCAGGAAGTCTGACTCATGGGCTTGTGGCATATCCCGGGAATCCAGAGAGCTTCCCACACTGACATCGCATCAAGTCACTCTGATGACGAGGGCTTGCTTAGGAATCTGGTAAAAGTGAGGGAAGGTGACTCAAGGGGTGTAAGAAACACATCAGTCATTTGCAGCCTACGGGACTGACGTGGGTTCTAACCTGAACAACCTGCAGTAACAGGGAACGGGAGACGTGAACCGCTCTTGTGTGAGATCAAGTTGTGCTTGAGTTTAGGCTATGAGATCAACCGTGTCTCCCCAGAGCCATGTCCCGAAGCTCTAACCTCCGGTACCTCAGCATGCCACTGTTTTCAAGGGTATAACTGTGTTAAAATGAGGTGGTTAGGGCAGGCTCTAAAATGTACAGTTGATGTCCTTTAAGAAGACATTAGGACACAGAGACATACCCGACAGGAGCACACACAGAAAACCACAAGGACTCACAGCTAGACAGTGGCCATCTACAAGCCACAGAGAGAGACCACAGATCCAGACTCTCGGTTCTGTGATTGTGGGAAAATACGTTTCAGCTGGATAAATAAGACTGTGGCATTGTTGTAGTCCAAACAAGTTCAAACTGAAGGAGTGACAGATGAAAGGACCAGCTGACTGAGGCTTGTTTCCAAATAACCTTTGAGGGAGGATGTGGGAAGGGTGGTTTACAGAAGGAACAGGACTGGTTGAGACTGGCTATGAGCTGCGTGCGTCTTGAAGCAGGTGCTGATATACTGAGTTTGTACTGAGTTCACTCTACTATTCTCCTCTCTCCCTGCTCTGAAGTTTTCTACAATGAAAAGCAAAACAAGAACTAACACAACACGGTAACAATAACAACAAATGAAGAGGCAATAGGAGATGAGACTTGGGTTTGCAGCTCTGAAAACCTGTGCTGTACCACAGGCCCCCGAGGAGCTGGGCCCCCGGCTCTGGTGTTCTTTAAAATTTCCCAGGAGGAATGAATCCTATGGCTGAATCAGTTGTCTGATTATTGGCCTCTATAGTCCCCTGACTAATCTCTATGGAGATTAGTAAATACCATGTTCCTGAAAGAGGAAACTTTGAACTGCCAATACAAAGTCTTCTATGTTAATTTATAAACTACAATTCTGATTAAAAAATGTTGATAGACTGTGCTAAGGCTCCACTGAAGTTTCGCTTGGTAGTGCTCTGTACTTGGGCCAACAAATTGTGGCCAGGAGTGATCTCATCATTTCTAGGTTAAAGCTTCTAGAGCCAGGCTCTCGTTATCTCCTGTGAGGCTGGCCATGTTGCAGCTGGTGGCCTCTTTAGACAGTAATGACGGAGAACCCAGGGCCCCCGGCCATGCCATGAACATGTAGGGTTAGCAGACATACACCTCTGCTTTTGCATTGCTGGGCTTTGGGGATATGTATCAGTTAGTCTATCTTGTCTCATACAGAAATTCAACACGGAATTTGACCAAATACTTCAAAGGTTGAGCTGAAAAGAGGAAAAGAGTGGGTGACAAAAGTACACCCCAAAGGAGCAGTGAGTCAGGGTTAGTGACGTCAAACACCAGGCTGTGTCAAGCACGATGACTTAAAACAAATAATGACTTGCTATAGATATAAAATTCTACAGAGATATTTGTGCTGAGGTACGAAAGTAATATGGATCATTTACAACTTGATTGACTGTAGTGAAGGTTTTTTCACTTCTAGCATATTGTTAAGCTGTTCCAGTTTCCCTGTCAAAAGTAACAAATGTAGACTTTACTGTAATGTATCAGGCCACTTCTATTAAAATAATACTCCCTGCTCAACAACCCAAGATTCACTTAGCAAAATTCAATTCGTTTTAGCTAAAAACAGCTGCTGATAAAATACCGGCTCTCTCTCTAGCATCTTGCAAGCCACCACAGATACGTTAGATTTCAATACGCCATCTGAATTCTAGATTTTTATACCTCTTGAAAGTCATGTTTGTTTGACCTCAACCCTTATTAAAAGATGCAGAGCACATCTCTTCTAGGTCGCCTGTCTTTCTGGACTAGAGTCTCTGGAAGAACCTGGGACTGAGACTCAGTGAGGCCACCTTGTCAGCTGTGGTTGGACTGGAGTGTCTGACCCAGGGTCCCAGTCTCCTGCCTCGGGTCTTCTCTGAGAGCACACCCTGCCCGGAGCCCGCTGTTTCTTCTCAGCTTATCTCCAGTCTGTAATGCTGTCCACCTCCCTTATCTGCTGCCCAGCACACTCTAGGGATGAGGTGCCTGGCTCTTGGGGACTCAGATGCTCTGCCAGCTGTGAGATGATGCTGAAGTTTGCAACAGCTGGATCTAGCTCCTGTCTCAGTTCTACTTATGGGCTTGGTGCCCCTGACTAAATCTTCCTCTGTGTGCTTCAGTTTTTTTTCACCCAAAGTTGTTTGTCTCTGTTTGTGTGCTTGACGTTAAGGGATTCTAGCTGCCTGAGACCAGGACACACACTAGGTGTAGGTGTCTTCACTGGTGACAGTGGCAGCGTGCGTGCTAGGTAAGCACTGCACCGCCTGAGCTACACTCCCAGGCCTCTCACTGGCGTTTCTAATTTGTGTTGGTGCACTTGCTGTTAGATGCAGTTTCTAAGTCTCGGCTGAGCCTTGCAGCCAAGCCACGTGTCATTATCTTCTCCTTATCCAGATGCATTTCTGTCTAATTCAGGATAGTATAATCACCCCCTATTGTTTTCATCTGTGTTCAAAGTTGCCTAGTTTGGCTTTTTAGAGTCGATTCTTCCTCCACATATCACATCCCCCATGTACCTGGGTTAAGTGTGAGTCTGGATTTCTCATCTTTATCTTAAACCACTGACCAGAGTGTGGGGCACAAGCCACCTGTAAAGGGGGTGTCTGAGTTATGGGAGTGAGTGCAAGGGCGGAAATGGACTGGAGCCATTTCCAGGGCAGTCCTATGCCTGCCACAAAGCACGCTCGAGTGTTTATATCTTCCTAAACCCAGTTTATCCTTCCTTCACACACTGGAGAGTGGACCTGTTACCAGTGGCAGTGTACAAGACCCCATAGAAGGCATGACAATATGCACAAATATGTAGGAAAAAATGTCAGCTGCATAATTCTATCAGAAATTTCCCTCTAAGATGCCATTGATGGGATGAAAAGGCGAGATTGGCTGTTTCAGCTTCTTAGGAGGCTGAGGATTGGCTGTTTCAGCTTCTTAGGAGGCTGAGGAAGAAGCATGCTCAAGCCCACGAGGTTACAGATCAAGTTCAGAGCCTGCCTGGGCATTTCAGTGAAGCCCCGTCTCAAGATAAAAACAGCTACAGTGTGGCTCAGTGACAGGCTGCTTGTCTAATCCACAGGAGACTGTGGGTTCAGTCCCTGGTACTAAAGAGGAGGGAAAAAACCCCAAACTATGAACATGATACTCACCCTTATTTAAAATACTGAAAACAACTTTAAAATACTGAAAGCAATCTTATTTAAAATACTGAAAACCTCTACACCCTGTGACTATAACTAAATAGAAACGACACTCTTAAAAAGATTCAATATCATGACTATGTAGCTTTAAAGTGACTATAAAGTTACGTTAAGTTACTATTAGTATACACACCGTGTCTGCAACTAAATAAAAACTATGTAAATATGGATAAGGATGGAAGGGGAGAGCAAAGAATTAGAAAAATTGAGGCAAGATTACAGATAGAATGTTTAGTTGTTTCTCGTTACAATATATTACAATTTGTTTGCTCATAACCACCCCAAATGTGAACATATGGATGCATTTTTCATGTGCTTATTATTTATGTGTGCATATATAATCTGAAGAGAGAGCCAATGGGAATTAAGAGAGAATAGTTCAGGGCTGGGCATGGTGGTGCATGGTGCACACCTGTAATCCCAGCATGTCTGAGGCAGAAGCGGGAGGATCACTGCAAGTTCAAAGCCAGCCTGGATGATAGCTTAACTTCTAGAGCAGCCTGTGCTACCAAGTAAGACCTTGTTTTAAAAACAAAACAAAACAAAACAAAAAAAAAGAAACAGTTCAGAAGGGAGAACTTCGGGTAACAAGACTTCTAGTAAAGTTAAGAAGTATTTGTGCAGGCCGGGCGTTGGTGGCGCACGCCTTTAATCCCAGCACTCGGGAGGCAGAGGCAGGCGGATCTCTGTTAGTTCGAGACCAGCCTGGACTACCAAGTGAGCTCCAGGACAGCCTCCAAAGCCACAGAGAAACCCTGTCTCGAAAAAAACCAAAAAAAAAAAAAAGAAGTATTTGTGCAGCTTGGTGTGGTGGCGCACACCTTTAGTGCCATTACTCGGGAGGCAGAGGCAAACAGATCTCTGTGAGTTTGAGACCAGCCTGGTCTACAGAGTGTGTTCGGGACAGCCAAGGCTGCTACACAGGGAAACCCTCTCTCTCCTCTCCTCTCTCCCCTCTTCCTCCGCCCCCCTCACACACACACACACACACACACACACACACACACACACACACACACACACACACACATTTGTGTGAAGTTGACAGCTTATTCTTGTCCTCAAGGAACCTGAGAATCCAGCAATTTGCTGGTGTGCAGATTCCTTTCGGCCAACACTAATACACTTCACTACATCTTTGCCTGCCTGGTAGAACCTGGAGGAGCAGGTGTCAGGATGGCATAGTGAGTGGTGCAAGCCCAGCTGTGAACATGGCCTCCCTGGCTCCTGCGGCACTCTCAGACCAGTCAGGGCCTGAGCAAGACCTTCCCTTACGAACCTCCAGGCACTGTAGGTGGCTGCCACCTACAAAGCCGTTCAAGGCGCAGCATCACAAGTGCCAGTGCAAGTTGGCTGCTGTGACAAGTGTGCCCCGTCATCTCTCATGGATGTTTACAGTTCTATACTTACAACACAAGGCGGAAGGAGGAAGGAGCTTGGCAGTGAGAACAGAAAAGGGGGAGAAAGAGAGGCTCCACTGACTGCGCCCCGTGCTTACCATAGGTGAACATTCGAGGGGAGGTCAGCTCAATGTTGGGCAGGGCTCCCAGGTGGTTTAGCACTGCACACCGGTAGCCATTTTTCTGGGCATAGTCAACGAAGGTTCGGATATACTGCTTCTCGCTGTGATTGGCAATTCCAGGGCAGATGACCATGGTGATGTCATCTACAAGGTGGAGGAAGAGATCCTTACATATCTGCTTAATATGTGAACACTGACATTAACAGGGTCTGAGGTGGTGGGATTGTGAGAGATTATGGGTAATTCCCCTCCCTCCAGGGAGGCTCAGGTAGAAGGATCACCAGGGTGAGGCTACATAGTATGATCCTGTCTCAAAAGCCAAAAACAAACAAAAGAAATAACTTTCAATTTTACAAAAGGCAAGGGCTGGAGAGACGGCTCATCAGTTAAGAGCACTGGCTGCTCTTCCAAAGGACCTGGGTTCAATTCCCAGCACTCACATAGCAGCTCACAACTGTCTGTAATTCCAGTTCCTGGGGATCTGACACCTTCATACAGATGTATATGCATGTAAATCATCAGTGCAATAAAATAATAATAAATAAATAGTAAGAAATAAGCTGCATTTCACAAGTGGATCACAATTCTGTACTGATCTCTGCTACATATGAACTAGCAAGCACAGGTTAAACTGCAGGTCATCTGAGTGATGACATGCCCCCCCCTGCCCCCACTAATGCAACGGGCATTTACACTGCATCCACCAGTGGGTACTCCCTCTCTCTAGGTTGTCAACACTATGGTCTGGAACTAACTCACCTCCAACACAGTGCTCAGCCAAGGGCTCGAAGAGATCGAATGTGGAGGTGGCTCCGTCTGCCATGGTGATGAACTTGCGGTGCCCGTAAGGGTGTGGGGACCTCACCCTTCCCATCTTCCCATACAAGGCTGTCTGGATATGTCCGCTCTTCCCCCAGATCAGCGGTGGAATGTATCTGAGAAAGGAGAGGAAGAAAAATGGGAGTGGTCAATCTCCTCCATATTCCTTAACAAAGGGACCCTCATTTTTAAAGTTTTTCCAGACACGTTTTGCACACTGGTCAGAAACCCAGTGGTTTCTTTGCTAGTTTGTAAAAACTTGTTTCGCTGGGCATGGTGGTGTAGGCCTTTAATCCTAGCACTCAGGAGGCAGAGGCAGGACGATCTCTGTGAGTTCAAGGCCAGCCTGGTCTACAGAACGAGTCCCAGGACAACTGTCACTGAACAGAGAAACTCTGTCTAAAAATAAAACAATTCTGTTTCATCTCTAGCTTTTGTCAGTGCAGGGGATGAGATCCAGGCCTCATGCATGCTGAGTGAACACTCTACCATTGAGCTGAACACTTTTACCACCTCATATCCAGGCCGCCATTTGTTCCGCTTCTACATTCACTAATGCCTTCTACACCAGTTTAGCTTCAGAAACCAACCATGACTTCAAATTTAGAGCTTATGTGATTTAACATGGTTATTTCTATACTAGAGGGAAAACAGAAGCAAATAATACCCTTTGGATACATCCCACATGACAGGGTTGGCCTCATTATTACCAAATGAGCCAATGCATACAATGTGGCTTGCATGGCACCTGTGCTCAGTAAATACTCACTTCTGCCTTAGCTTCTGTGGTTACTGCATTAGTAAAAACGCTGCTCTCAGCTACACCATGAAGGACTGCAGACTCTCCTCAGAGCCTCTAGGCGCTTTGGGGGACGCAAGGGGGGAGCACTACTGTATGCCCCAGAGAAGGTGCTGGAAGGGCAAGTTTTCTGTTGGATTAATGAAGGACAAAGGCTTCGTCACGTAAGGTAGGCATGACGCCTTCCTTACCACTGCCCTTTGTGAAGACAACGGTGGCACTGGAGTGAAATATAAGAACTGCAAGCCCATTAACTCCTGGGAAAGATGGTGCTCCGATTAAGAGCACTGGGGATGGGTCATAGCCAGGGTACAAGATGATCCCATTTACTGAAAATGCTATTGGTTTCTCTCAGCTTTTTATCCGAGCTCAGTGACTGGCCACGGTGTGTGTTCTATATAAACTGGAATCTCATAATGTCACACGGTGGCAACACTGATCTCTCCGCTCTGTATTATGTTCCAGGGGTGTTTTATTAATGATTTATCTTAACCTATTTGCTCATTCATGCATAGCTGTCATTTCCCTCAGAACCAGATGGTTCTGGAAGCTCCACTTCTAGTCATTCCTTTTGTGTGTGTACCCTTAGATACACACAAAGTTAAAGAAGCGCACTTCCCATGTAACCCAGACAAGCTGCTGCTTTGGGGCTGGAGACGAGAGAGAAGGGAGCCACTTGCCAGCAGGTGCAGACACCCCTGCAGAAAAGACTGTGTTTGAGAAGCAGGGGGAAGTACTTACAGGGGCTCAGTGGTTAGGACAGTAACAAAAGGCAGCCTTATAAAAATAATACAATGTCAGACTCAGCCACATAGTCTACAAAAGCTACCAGACAGCTACTGGGCTGTGTAGAGGGAACAGGGTGGACATGGAAACCAAACTCCTGAGGAAAGCTGGAGGGAAATTTTCCTTACAGCATGAATAAAAAAGGATAAGTAAAGTGAGTTAAAGATATCAGAACAGGAGACAGGTGGATCTCTGAGTTTTGAGGCTAGCCTAGTCTCCAAACAGAGTTCCAGGACAGCCAGGGCTACACAGAGAAGCCCTGACTCAAAAACAAAATAAAACAAAACCAATAAACAAAAACCAAAGCCAGAACAGGTATATTTCATAGGCTACTTTTTAATCTTGTTTAGAACATGATTTAATCTTGGAAAATAAGTCAAAAACACAACCACATCTCCTTTTGGCTATTTGCAGATTTTTCATGTCATGATGTCCCGTCGTCCACCCTCCTCTGAATCTGGCAATGGCCTCACGGTGGCCTCTAGCCTTGCCCCTCCCCCTCCGCTGTTCAACTGTCCACCTTGCCAACGGAGGGAGAATCTCAACACACAGATCTTGCCGCAGTCCTCCAAGGCATGGGTCTTTAGCTTGGCCTAGGGGGTGGTCACACCCTGGCACTCCCTAATTCTCTCCCAAAGTCCAGGACAACTAAACTAGTGTCAAATGGACACTCCTGGGGAAGAGTGTTTATTCCAGGCGACCGTGAGCCACCCTGGTCCCTTCCTGGTCAGCCAGGACTTGTCTTCAGGACATGCTCCCAATCGGGTTGGTTGCTGGGACAGATGTCTCATCTCTGCGTACTGCTCTGTCCCAGAACCCAGGCAGCTCCACCCCTTTCCACATTTACCCCAGGGTCTGTGGTCAGGGACCCACATTAAGCATCCAGAGAATCTGCTGAGATGACAGAAAACACACCCGCTTAGCAAATCATAGGTTTAAAAAGTATCTTTAAAAGATAGTATACATCATGATAATGTGAGTCTAGTCTCACCCGACTGGCATTTGGTGACATTCTTACTCAGTAGAATAAAATCTTGAAAGTGCATGTTGGGTAGGGGGCCACTGCCTTAGAATCACAGTGTGACATCAACTACGCACAGTGGAAGTCCCACAAATTTTAACTGTGTGACGGAACCACCTACTGATAAAACACTGTTCTTAACTAACTTCCCAATAACACACAGCAGGACTCACAACACTGTGATTAAGTTCAGTGTGGTGGGTTTCTGACTCTATTTTAAAAAATATTCATATAACTTATCCAAAAACCACAAGGAAAAAAGTCAAACAAGTATTCAGAATGGTCCAAGTCATGGAAGAAATACAGACCCAAAGGATAAAATATTCTGGTTTATCTATACAATACACGCAAACACAGAAAAGAGATGCAGCTGACTTGGTCTGTGGAGGGCTATACCTAATCCTAACTACCTATGGGACAATTTTTCTGAAAATATAGAAGCCATTAACTCACCTGTCATTCTTGTGTCTGAAGGTCATCTCACTAGAGGATCTAGGCCAGTCTGGGACGGGTTGGGTGGACAAAAGGACAGTCCTATGCCACCTGTCCCTTAAGAGACCTGGAAGGTTTAGTGTTCATAACCTTGGAAGTCTGACTGCCTAACAGGTGAGAAGCGCAAGGGGAACCTTGGAGGATGTGTGCATTTTCAATTTCATAGATAACCCCAAAATGCTTTACAAAGAAGGATCAATGTATAATTTATATACCACCAATAATAAATGAGAGCACTTTTTTACCCTCATCGGTAATTGGCATCATTATTATTATTATTATTATTATTATTATTATTATTGTTATTATTTACATTCTGGCCACTTTAATGGGCACCTCATTTCAACATGTTTAAAGTTGATCTAATTTATAATCTAAAAAATGTCTCTTGGGCTGGTGTGTTGCCACGGAGGGTAGGAAAGCCGTTTGTTGCCGAGCCTGGTGACCTCGGTCCAATCCCTGGGACCACATGGCTACTGCCAGTTGTCCTCCGACAGCCACAGGTGTGCATGGCACACATGCCTGCTCCAAATAAGTAAATGTAAAAGTGTTTCTCATTTCAACTTGTGTTTTCCTGACTCGTGTCTCCTACTACTTAGTTTCATTTTTCTCTTGTGAATTCTGTTCACAGTTTGTTTTTATTATATTTTTACTTTTTCCTGTTAATTTGTACTTACCAGTTCTATATTATTAAACATTATCATTTGTGTGTTAGAATTGTTTCCTTATTATAGTGTATGTTGCAAGTACACATTTTTCTTTCTTTTTGAGACAGGGTCTAGATATATAGCCCAGGATGACCTTGAACTGGCAATCCTCCTGCCTCAGACTCTGGAGTGCCAGGACTATAGGTACGCATCACGATGCAAGAAAAAGTTTATCTTGATTTTACACATTTTTTATATTTTGTGGTTAAATTTAGTAATTTTTTAAAATTAAACTTTTATATTTTGGCTCCTCCTCCATCCTCTAGTTTGATTTTGTTTTAAGACAGTGTCCTGTATAGTCTATGCTGACCTTGAACTTGCTATGTAGTTGAGACTGGCCTTGAACTCTGGATCTTCCTGCTTCTACCTCCAGAGTGCTGGGATTGTATACGGGCTTGTACCACTTCTGACTTCGCAGGGTATTTTAAGAAGAGCGATTCCAACACCCATTTATAACTATACCACTTATTTCCTTTTATTCCTATAGTTGTTTTCTTTTTTTTTTTAGAAATGCATTCCCCTTAACTGCACTTATTTTTCTAAGTGATACCGAGATGTAATTCATCACTTCCCAACAGATGAGTTCACTGTCCTTGCACAACAATAAACGGTCCGTTCATCTAAGTGATTTCAAGCATCATCTGTAATAGATGCCAAGTTCTCAGTGAGATATGTTCTTATGTTCTCTATTCTGGTTCATCCATCTATCTGTCTACTCGTTTGCCAGTATGGCTGTTTTAATCGATACCTCTTATAGGATATTTCGAGAGACAGAAGTTCAGGTCATCTTGACAATTCTTTTGCAAAATTTCCTTGGCAGGTTATTTCATTCTCCAGATAAATTATATAATCAGCTTGTTGAGTTCCTGAGAAACTTTGAGATTTGATTGAAAACATATAAACATGTAGCACCCTGGGACTAACAGACATCTTTGCACTGACTTCTTCCCTCTGAAAACATGGCACGCCTCCCCCAGGCCCCGTGGTAACGCTTTGGAGTGTGCAGTCAGACTACAGTGCTCTGCATGGGGTCGTGCACATCGGTAAAAGCTGTTCTCCAGAGCTGGAGCACATGGTCATGTTTATCTCTAACAAAGCAGGAATAATGTCTCTTCCTTTTCGAATCCACTCGCACCGCTGCTCTGTCCACTGTGGTGGTTAATAAAGGCGGGCTACTAAGAAACGAGCTAGACCACAGCAAATAGAGGCCAGCCTGTCCTTATCACATCAACATCTGGCTTTCCTAACAAAACTGCCCAGTGGGAGAGACTGCAGGGGGAACATCTGGAACACCCTCCTGCCCACATGCCC